AGAATTATCTGGTACACTTTAAAAAAATACAGATTCATGACCTCCGGTCCAAACCTAGTGAATGAATCTCACTGCACTCACGTCAATAAAATTAAATGCATCATGTCTGAGTCCTTTTTCAATCAACTTTGCAGAGTGCATGTGAAAAAGAACTCCAGTACCAGCCCCCACAGGACTGGATCAAAGTAACCTGGAAGTCTAGAGTAAGTGACCTTGGGCAGAGCCCTAATGAATGGCTATTCATTGAAAGACAACCAACTACTCTTTAAACTGCTTTTGGAAGGAAATCCAAATTAAAAAAAGAATTCTTCCTGGTTCTTGTTCCTCTAAAGCACTTTCCCATATCAAAGTCCATTTTTAAGCAGCTTCTAACAAACAATGACAATGTCGATGTCATCACCATTTTATTAATACATTTTTAATAAATTACTTGTTTAGATCACTGTTCGAAATATAATATGTATTCATTCATGTTACAAATAACATCGGTCCTAACATTGTTATTGCATTGCACTTTGCCTTTCAAAGCTCTGGGACATCTTAGAAACCATTGTTACAAGAACTTAAGCCAGAGAGACCTGGTTCAAATCCTGCCTCTGAAATGTAGGCTAATTGTTCTATGTTATAGATAAGAGTTTCTGAACTCTTCTCTAAGTGGTGATGATAATACCACCTATGTTGCTGGGTTGTGATAAGAATAAGAATTGTAAGTAAAACACATCTAGTCCTGATTCAGGACCAGCATTCAATGGATGCTAATTACTCTTATTGCTTTTATCCAAATCTCCATCTCAACCCCCTCCCAACAAAGGTGAAATGAGTGCTCTAAAAGTGCTCAAGATATTGGAGTATGTGTTGAAAACCCGAGTAATCCAGCCATCCTGAGATCTGTAAAAAAAAAAAAATTCTACTCATGAAAAGCTTGCATGTCATGATAATGTGAAGAGTCCTCCATCACAAAGTGCCCATATGCTCAATAAGTAACAAGAGGTATACTGTTGAGTGTTCTGCCCAAATCATAAGATAAAGAAATATCCAAAGAATAAGAAAAAATTAAAAACTATAAATCTAAACCCTACTGGCAAACTAATTTGTGAGCCCACTCCCTCCCAGCAACCTGGGGGTCTAGAAAGGGAAAGGGAGATCTGACCTTAAGCTTTTGGAATGGGAAAGGACTGAACTTGAAACAAGACCCCAATGTTCCACTCTGACGGAGCTACACCTCGATTAAATGGCAACCTAGGAAAAAAAACCTGCATTCCATAAAATCAAACTGATGAGTAAATCTGCAGACCAACAGCAAGCCTAAAGTAATTCATGAAGATCATGACACTGACCTTCCCTGAGCAAGCCTGAACTCACATTTACAACATCTTCAAATCAGGAAAATGCCTGGTTATTAAAAGAGTCTTTGGAGGTAGAAACAAATGAAGTATTTTCAACAGAAAGGCATCTTCAGTATACAACCCTTCTGGATTCTCATAACATTAAGGAGTGATGAAGAAAACACACTACCTTGAATAATAGCAGGAAAAAATATTCAATGGGTTTTCCTCTACCCCCAAGAGCTCCAGATATTCATACCATAGAAAAGGAAAAGAGGAAGGCACAGAACAAGTTGAACTAAAAAAAAAGCACAAGCTAAGAAAATTTCAATCCTGTACTATATACTATCTAAAGGATATAGTATATAATATCCTATACTATGTAATATCCTTCTGAATTTCTTTTTCCCTAATGGAATTATGTACTTTATATGATGTGCAGTAAAAAGCATTGCCTTTGATGCCAGGCACACTAGAATTTGAATCCTGAGTAATCAAGTACCAGTGTATGATTCCAAACAAGTTAGTAAAAATTTCTGTGCCTCAATTTCATCAAATGAAAAATTGGCATAATACTATACTACCTACCTATTAAGATTGTTGTGAAATAAATTCATATACATATGTATTCAAGTGTATATCACATAACAGAGTTCTTAGTATAGTACAAAATGCACTTAATAATAGTAGCTATTGTGAACATTTATAAAGCATCTCTCATGTGCCAGCGGGACAAATGAGATGGAAAATGGGACACAGAGATGCAAAATGATTCCTTGTTAGTATACTATCTGGCACACTTGTTTGGTACCAAACAGTTACCTACATAATTGTACTTACTCCTCCCAATAATCCTTTTTTTTAAGTTCTTGATTTATATTTTATTATTTTGATTATTTTTTTAATTTTATTTTTAAAATTTATTTAGTTGTTGTTCAAGTACAGTTTTCTGTCTTTTACTCCCATCCCAGCCCACCCCCCCCAGTGCTCCCCACCTCCCTCCCATTTCCACCACTCTTAATTTTTGCCCATGTGTCCTTTATATTTGTTCTTGTAAACCTTTCCCCTTTTCCCCTGAAATTCCCTCCCGTCTCCGCTTTGGTTACTGTCAGCCTGCTCTCTATTTCAGTGTATTTGGTTATATTTTGCTTACTTGTTTGTTTTGTTGTTACAACAGTCTTATAAAGTATTGTTATTTCCATTGTCCAGATGAGGCAACTAAGAAATTCGTTAAGAGTCCTGGTCCCATTCCCACAATAGTAATGAAAATGGGACCAGAACTTGTGCGCTATTTAACCTCACTCCTCTCTTTCCTCTAGATGAGAAGACTCACATCCAACCGCATATGGAGGATGCAGTTGGTGGACTTTCTTCTTTTTTTCTTTTGAGTAAAAAGCAGAGAACTCTAAAAATAGCAGGTTTCACAATCATAGAATATAACACAACACCATTAAACTGAATTCTCTGCTAAGTTCTCAACCTCTCAGTTCTTGTTCCTTCTTTAAGAGGGCAAATAACAATTTGATGAGTATGCAATGGGCCTACCGGGGGTGTCCAACCTCTGGCCACATGCAGCCCAGCCCATCACAAAATTGTAAAATTCACTTAAAACATTATGAGATTTTTTTGTGATTACATATCACAGTGTATTAACTGTGTGTCCAAGACAACTCTTCTTCTTCCAGTGTGGCTCAGAGATGCCAGAAGGCTGGACACCCCTGAATGTCATGATTTTCATATGTAAACACTTTCCTAGGTATTATAAATTGAAACTTCTTAGGAATTTAAACCTTGTTTACTTTTTGATGTGGAGAGGATTCTATTTATATAATGGTAGATAGCTGGGTGAGACTTATTGGAGTGGCAGATTTGAGTCAAAGGAGGATGCACTTTCTAAAATGTTCTTACCCCATCAAATTGAATGGAGCTTTGGTCATTCAACAGTTTAAGACTCCCTGTCAAAACACCTGATTATTCTCCAACAGATACTACAGATTATACAATATCATGGTAAAAAGAAACAACTGTACCCAGGAAGTTACAGTATATTTTTCAACCCTGAAAATACTAGCAGCAAAGAACTTGGGAGTTTTTGTAAACAATAGTAAGACAATGTAACAGACCAAGAAAAGTTATTGCTAGGTTCTCCATTTCATTAAAAAAATGTTCTGAATAAAAATAGAGTACACTCTCTTTTATAAACACATCTGCCCTGGGGAAATGATTTGTAGACTGCCACAACTCTAGTCACTCCATTTTCCAGGAGGGCACTTTTATCTTCTGCTAACAAAACTAAGCAAGTGATTTTAAGTAAAAAGATGTAAAAAACATGGATTCCATTTCTCTTCAAGATGATTAAGACATTGGGTACCTCAAACAATTGAAAATTTAACTCAGAAATAACTTCAACACAAAGCAATGCATTTTCACTTTCAAAGAAAGAAAACATTCTTCCTCTTACTTTAGAATGAATCACCTAAATCTGGAAGAGATTTCAGAGTCTTTCACTGGTGTCTTCATTTTGCAGATGAGGAAACTGAGACCTGAAGCACCGTAATTCAGTTACTTGTTTACATTTTTCTCACATCACTATTTCTGGCCTTACCTATTTGGCTATATATTCATCATAATTGTAAGTCATCACCATATTTTTCTGCCCTATGACTATTACAGCTTCAGACAAGGACTAGACAGAAACATTTAAAACTTCCACTACTGATCACTTTCAAACCATCACAACAGCTTTACTAACTCAGAACAAAATGAGTGAAAGTGAATTAAAGGGTTTTTATTAGTAGTAGTAGTATTAGTATTTCTGCTGTTTAAATAAAGGTTTACCTCATAACTGATCTACATCAAGACATCTCTGGTTATGGCATGATAGGAGCACAAAAAAGCAAGGGGATTGTAAAGTTTTACAAATCAAGAAAAATATCTCCAGTGTGTTCTACACAGTTTCAAGTTCACCTTGGGAGAAAGGAATGCCTTTGAAGAGCTAAGGAGATGTGGGCTTGAATGAATCATCTTGAGGATTTCTTCCAATACTAAGATTCACTGAGAATTCAGAACTCAAAGTACTGTATTACTAAAATCTGAATTTGTCAATACAAAAACACCAATAAGAATTACATTTCTTGATATTAGGAACATTTTTCCCTATTAGTGACTTGCATCTTTTCGCAGGGCGGGAGTCAAGGGCTTTTTTTTTTTTCAAAAGGGAAAACCCGATCACTCAGGATTGCTAGTCCTAGGTCACTCAAGAGCTAGGCTGCCACCAGGATGAACATCAATCTCCCCCACTCACTAGTCCTTAACGAGGACTTGCGAAAAGCAAGAATTTAGCGAAGAAACTTAAACTACAGTAACTAGAAAATGGGTATTACATCCAAACTTTTATTTTTAAAGTGACGTCTTTACTTCCGGAATTCTCTAATAACTGACCTGCAGGGTAAGCTCAGCCCTAGGCGTGTTCCTACCCAAGCAAGGTCCTCTGGGGGAAGGGACAAAACTGGTAAGAGGGTAGGTGGCCCGGCGCAGTCTTCCGGGAAAACCTCGCCGGCTGCTCCCTTTGCTGCGCGCAGACCCACCTACAGAGATGTCGCACCCACGGGGCACCCCGCGCGTCCCTCCCTTGAGCCAACCCTCTGTTCGCCCCTTCCCTCCCAAAGCACTTACCTGGAGCGTCCGCGGATGGCTGGATCCTGAAGGTGTCCGTTTCGGCCCGTCCCAGGTGCAGGTGCGAGGACGGCCGACTCCAGGGCCTGGGGGTCCCAGGCAGCAGGTAGGAGGGGTTGGACTTCCGCCGGATCGCCACCCGCCTGAAGTCGTGGCCACCCTTGCAGCTCATGGTGCCGGGTTCGCTTGCGGCCCTGAAGTCGTAGCCACTCTTGCTGCTTACGGTGCCGGGTTCGCTCGCGGCTCCGCGCTCTCTCCCGCCCTGGGCCGGACGCGAGTGAGCGCTCGGCGGGGTCCTCAGTGGCAGCCCGACCCGCGGGGTTCTCGCCTGCATGCCCACGCTAGGCGCGACTCGAGAGGGGTGACTCCGGCGGCTCCTTGGCCAGTGCTTCCTCGTCCCCGCCTTCCCGGCCGTGCAGTTGGGCACCCGGTGTCTGCGGCTCCCAGACTCACCTGACGCAGCTACTGCAGCAACCGGCCCGGGACTGCGTCCACACCCTCCTTCCCCGAGTCAAACGGCCCCGGGGGCGGGACCGGGAGAGTCCGGGCTCCAGCAGCCGCGGCCGCTGCCTACTCCTCGCGCGGGAGAGGTGCCAAGGACTGGCTGTGCCTAGTGGGGCACCCGGGGCGCGGCCCGGCAGCCGATTGGCCGCTGGCGGCCCCGCCCCGCCCCGCCCCGGCGCTCTGCGCTCGCTCATTGGCTGAGAGGAACGCGCGGCGCTCACCTGCAGCCGCACACCTGGAGTGCTAGGAATGTCACTGGATTAGGGGGTAATAAGATAATTACAGGTTCTTGAGACTCTGCCCCAGTGGCTCGCTTATCCTCACAGACCCACCTATCAAAGGTCTACTACCTTGGGTCTCAAGCGGTGAACTGAGCCCTTGATAAGAATCTTACTTCTGCTGTAAAGCTAAAAAATGAGTTAAGTACCGGTAACATTTCAGATAAGGCAACCAAAATGCAGAAGCGACAACAGGTCACATAGCGTTGCAGATGAGCTAGAATGCTTACCCAGTCTCTGCGCCAAGGTCAGTCCCTGTCTTAACGAATCAAATCATCTCGCCAAGAACACCAGGACAGAGAGCGCTGAAAATATGCGTGTGTGTGGAAGTAAAAGAGAAGAGGTGCAGTTAATAACCCACAGGTTCCAGAAAAGTGACCGACCCTCCATCACCATGCACTTTCAGGACTATATTAGTTATGCACTTCACAGTCCTTTGTTGTCGTTTTAATTTCTTTCAATCCTTGCCTGAGGATATGCCTGTTGATATCAGAGAGAGAGGAAGACAGAAGGATTGATAGGTCGCCTCCCGTGCGCACCCTGATCGAAATCGAACCCACAACCTAGGTATGTATGTGCCTGACAAGAGTCAAACCTGCAGCCCTCTGATGTACCAGGCAACGCCCCAACCAACTGAGCCACCGGCCAGAGCTGGAGTTCTTCTAATTTGTCAAGTAATGTTTTTTAATATCAGTGAAATACCAACTGGAAGAAAATACATTTTACATTGTTTTGCTGACCTGCATTTTAAAAATTTATGACTCTTTCCAGTGACGAAGAGGCTGTGCTTGTTCCGGAACACAGTACTAGGAGGGGACAGAGCATCCGTCCACACAAAGTACCTGAGCTCAAGCAGAAAGAGTTTCCCAGACATCACATCCACCTTGGAAGCTACCCCACCTTTCTTCAAATGGTCATTTACCCAGGTGACATCTCCTTCAGCTCCCTGAAGTGGGTAGCCCATAAGCCAATCCTCCTCAAGAAACTTCTTAGAGGGCAGTTCAACAATGTCAGTCTCCTTGGCCAATAAATAAACCCCTGAGGAGATGAAACTAACACCCCAATATTTAACCCAAAGTGTCAAACTGAGTTAAAAGGAGCTTTTACTCCCTTCAGATTTATTGTCCCTGTATCACGGCATTGCATCTAATTATAGTTTCTCTTTCTGTGTAACTGTGTTGTTATCTACTTTGCCGTATACATGGAAATGATTTAAAAAGTAGTTTCAAATATAACTTAATATTGAAAGGGGTTTAATCTCATATATATATAACTATTATAATTTAAATACAAAATTTTAATATAATTTATTTGCTTCAATAAAAGGGAGCTGTTGCAATCAATAATACTGAACTAACAACCTAGCTTACAGTAACCTATTTTTCTCAGAAGAGATGCTGGCGATCTTCTCTTTTAGAGAACTGGTTACTCATGAGGCTTAAAAGTAACCCTCCTCCCTGTTCCCCAAGTACTCTTCCAGTAGGTGTTCGCTTTCTGCAGAGAACTGCTGTAAACACAACTCTGTAAGGCAAAGTGTATTTTACCACAAGTATTTGGGGCAGCAGTTTATTATTTCCTTACTTGGATATTTTGCTTACATTATACACATTTCTATTTCTTTCTTGGTTCAAGTTGTTTGCATTCACTTAATAATATATTAGTTCACATCAGTAGATGGCTGTATTTTCAGATGGAATTTTTTTATAACATGTACATCACCTGACATTACCCCTATCAATGTTACTGCCATTTATTACTTCCTGATAGAAACAATTTGTAAGGGACTTTGCATTCCATGATGACTTGCAGCACTCAATAAATGGGTCGACAGAACATTATTTGATCTCAAGTTATCTTAGAGTAGAACGAAGCATTGAATATAATTTTGTACAGATAATCTTAAAACACTATCTTATTTGTTTATATAGCCCACAGGAAGTTTGCCACCAACTCATTAACTTATATTAAATGGGAACTGTGCTACAACACAGAGATGCACACAGCACACTAGTGTTTCTGCTCCAGGTCTCTGTGGCCAGTACAATGCTGAGTGCTGACCAAATCCTGCATCGTTTTCCTTGGGCACACAAGGAGACCCATTTAAACCTTCCCTGGTGGTTAGGTGAGCAGAGGTGATACGTACCACCTCCAGACTTGGGTTCTGCACCCTGGCCCCTAAACTGTCTACTATTTTTCTCCAAGTGCCAGCTGGAGTGCACAGGGGCCTGGGGAGGAACCTGGAGCCCTGGGCAGTGGCAGGTCCACTGTACACAGAGGAGCAGGCAGCCCAGAATCACCCCTTTCCTAAGAACTAACATAACAGGGACACTATGAGCTGGTTCATGTTCCTTAAATTTTATTTTAATATTTTCCAGTGTAGCAAAAATGATATGTATAATGATGCCTTTTAATTCTAATCAAAATGTTGTATACCTTTTATTTAATTTTACCAACATAACCTGTCTCAGATTGATCTAGTCCCTAATAAACAAAATAAAGTAAAATAAATACTGAGAATAAAAATAATGAATTAAGCCTTGGCTGGGTAGGTGAGTTGTTTAGAGCATCATCCTAGTACATCAAGGATGCAGGGTCAGTCCCTAGTCAGGGCACAGACGAGAGTCAACCAGTGAGTGCATAAATGGGTGGAAAAACGAATAGATGCTTCCCTCTCTCTCTCTAAAAAAGCAATTTAAAAAATAGTGAATGAATAAGCTACTTCGACTACTGGTAGGAGAACATCACTTCCCAAACTAGAATTTAATAGAAATTAACATTTTACAACAAATTCACTCTTACTTTAATCTCACTAGGGAAAGATGAAAAACTTCTTTCACTTTAACAATAAATTGTGTTACTTCCTCAGTAAATAAATTATAAATGTATTAATTACTTACTCCAATGCTATCACTAGGTAGGAATCCATATAAATGTCACTAGGAAGAAGAGGTCACTGAAAGGCATGAATGACGCTGACTTTATTTAGTGGCACTAGGGGGCTGGCATACAGAAGATAATTTCATGTAGACCTAACTGAAGATGTTACAGGTTTTTTAAAAGACTCTATTTGTACTTATTTTCTAGAGAGAGGTGAAGGGCGTGAGAAAAATATCAATTGGTTGCCTCTCGTATGCCCTCAGCCAGGGACCTGTCCCTCAACAAGTCATGTGCCCTGACCAGGAATCAAATGGTGACCTTTGGACTCACAGGTGAATATGTAATCCACTGAGCTATAGCAGCCAAGGCAATAGTTATTTTAACAGGACCTTAGTAAACAGTATAATATTTTGACTTGGTATAAATTGAGATTTCAATAAAGTTTAATATACAAGTAAAATCATATGTAAACTGTATAACTTCTTTTTTAAAATATTTTATTTATTTATTTTTAGAGAGTAGGAGGAAGGAAGAGAGGGAAAGAAACATCAATGTGTGGTTGCCTCTCACATGCCCCCTACTGGGGACCCAGCCCACAACCCAGGCATGTGCCTTGACTGAGAATTGAACCAGCAACCCTTTGGTTCACAGGCTGGTACTCAATCCACTGAGCCACAACCAGCCATGGCTAACATATATATTTAATTTGTATGTCTATAGTTAGACTAGGTATTGCTTATATAATGACCTTTGTAAGTATGGATAGTCATAAATACACACAAACACCCCTCTTAGAAGATTTGCACAAATATGAGGTATCACCTGAAACTGTCATGGCACAGGTGCGGCCTTGTACTTAAATTGACCACTTTTTCTCTTTAAAATGAAGCGGGGCCTTGTCTGATGTAGCTCAGTGGATTAAGCAGAGGTCTGCAAACCAGAGAATCGCAGTTTAATTCCCAGTCAGGGCACATGCCTGGGTTGCAGGCTGGTTCCCTGCAGGCCAGTTCCCAGTAGGGGACGCATGAAAGACAACCATACATTGATGTTTCTCTCCTTCTCTCCTTCCCCTCTAAAGATAAATAAATAAAACCTTAAAAAAAAATGAAGTGGTCAGTCAGGATATTCTTAAAATCATCTGGAAACTGGAAAGAAAGCAGTTATTTTCTAAAGAACACAGTCCCTGGCATTATGGAGCCCATGGTTCCATGAGATTAGGGGAGGGGCACCCAACTTGAAGCTAGCCTGTCCAGAGAAGATTCCTAGAAGTCGAAATTAAGAGAGACTCAAAAGATGAATAAATGGCCTGGTGGAGATGACAAAGAGTTACCCTAGCAGCTGAACAGGACACACAAGGGAGGAGGGGAGGGGGAAGGAAACAGACACACACGCACGCGTGCGCACACACACACACACACACACACACACACAGCTGCACTTACAGGGCATGGGAACTGAGAAATGAGGCCGGAGAAAGAGTAAAGTCAGATCGTTAAAGATCATGTGCAATGTGTTAAAGAGTTAGGACTTCACTCTGATGACAAAGAAATTATTTTTAAGCAAGAAGTGATGGTGTCAGGTTTGCACTTTAGCAATCACCTTAGCTGTCCACATCCCTTATTTTTAGGCCATTAGATTTAAAAAAAACTAAATTCTGAAATGTTCATCTCAAAGAATATGCCACTTCGATGACTGACTGAACAAACGAATGAAATATTTGAGAAATTTACTTAAATCAGGCATAAAAAGTAAGTTTTAGAAAACTCTATTCCCATGAAATAGATCTCATCTTTCTGCTACCTACATCATGTTTTTTTTAGTTTAGTTTTTGTTGTAGTGGTTTTGTTATGATTTGTTTTGTTACACATCTCACACATAAATGCTGCTCAACTATCTCACT